TCCAGTTTCTACAACGTCATAAATTAATATTAAAAAAATAGAATTAAAAATCATAACTAATAATTTAAAAAAACGTGAAACTCAAACAGGAAAACAAAATAGAGAATGTTGTTCAAATATGTTGTTCGAGCTTCTTCAACTTGGAAATTCAATCTTATTTTCAAATCTGACAAATTAAATAGCAAATAAAAATAAAAAATCTACCTTAGATTTAAAACCTTTGGCCTTAAAAATCTCATCCATAACCAATGTAACGGCCCCATAATTTTAAAATGAAATGAATAATAAAAATATCAAATGCGGAAGCGAAGTCAAAAATTCGATTAACATCCCTTACACTAAAATAAAAAACGTGCTCACAAAATATAAAAGATCAAACTATCTAAAGGTTACTTAAAAGTAAAAGCTACGAATATGACTATGGAGTCTTTAGGCGTCCCCTTCGTCGTCCTCCTGCGGAACCGGCTCGGGAACAATGTCTTCCTGATCTGAAATGATTAAATAAGGAATGAGCTACACTAGCCTAGTAAAGACATCACGATATCTCACCGTCACGGAGGTAAAGGTGGGTAGAAAGCACAAAAAGACCAAGACAACAAATTCTTTTATCAATAATAAATCCTTCACCATCCACTTACCTCGCTGAAATCTATAAAACAGTATACGAAAACAATAACATTATCATCATCATGAAATCATATATGAACTGTATAACATAATACTTATCACACCTTTTGTAATTCAATCATTACACAACATATTTTCCTCATTTATCAGCCCACTAGTATCCATGGGGATCCATAGGGGTCCCGCTACCCGTTAACCCTTAACACTTGAAATCAGATTCCTGGGCCGTCCCCATACCCCGTCCGGTATGGGCCCCAAAACTATAAACCCCATTACCCCGTCCGGTATGAGGGTGAAACGGGCCGTCCCCGTACCCCGTCCGGTATGGGCGCCAAAACACATAAGGTCTTCATACCCCGTCCGGCATGAGAGACCACAATCCCGGTAGGGTTCCCTACGGACCCGGTCCGTCCACCATCTCCCAGGATATCTAGTCAGGCTGACCACATTATACAATTACCCATTTACATAATCTTTCATTCTCCTTTTCCTCAGTCAGCATCATCAATTCACATACAAACAAGTAAAACAGTAATTTATGCTAAACAGGCAACATACAGCATCAGTATCTCAGTCATTCAATCCATAATCAATAAAACAGTAAAATATGCACACGAAACTATAAAATGAAAACATCAAACCTCATACTGCATTTAAAACTGCAAAATAGGCCAAATAAAAGTTAACCGACAAACACACTAGACTCGGGCTCCATTAGCGACCTTAATCAATTTCACACATTCGTTGATTCAAGAAATACCATTTATCATTATTGAACTTTAATACCGTAATAGGAAATAGGGTGAGGGGTCCTTACTCGTTTTGGGGTCCGAACACGGCTTCACAGTGCGCCTACAAGCTGTCCCTAATTTTTCCTGAATTTTTCCCGGGGAACTGAAACGCACTACTGGTACCTGCGCGTGTTCCAAAAAATCCCAAATTAGGCCCAGGGCCCCTTTTTGGCCAATATCGCAATTCCAGCACGGCGGCTCCGCCGTGCTCCGGCGACGGCGTCGTCGCTTGCGGCGGCAATCCGCCTCGGTTTGGCCATTTTCGGCCGTTTTCGCCCGAATTCGGCCACACTTGCATCAGTCCTTGCGATAAAACAACCCTAGGACCCTCGGGAGGCCAAAAAATTACGAAAAACCGAAGCTTACCGGCAGCGGTGCTCTCGGGTGCGGCGGCTCTCTGGTGAAGTTCGTGTTTTGGTGATTCGGTTCCGATCAACCTATAGAGAAAAGAATGGTGATCACGGTGATATAAAAATTGCATCAAACGGAGGCCGGGAAGGGCCTCATCGGAGGCAAAAATCGAGAAGGGGCGCGGCAGCGCCGCTGGGTTTCGGCCGTGTTTTCCGGCCGTTTGGCCGGGATTTTGGCTCTGATTTGGCCGCAGGGGAAATCAGTGTGGAAAAACGAGTCGGGGGTATGAAATTTACCTCGATTGGCGGTCGGAAATCTCCCCGGTGCGGCGGCGGGTGGCGGCGGCCGGCGTCTGGTTCGTCTTCTCCAGCGAGGGCAGGCGGCTAGGGTTTTTGTGGTCTGGTGTGGGGGTTCTATTTATACCCTTTTGCCTTTTGATCTCAGTCGTCCATTTTGTTTTAATCTGGGCCGTCCGATCGCGCGTACGCGGATCGCCAATGTGGCCCGTCCCCGGTCGACGTGGTTTTGCCACGTGGCAGGTTCTG